GCCCCGCTGGGGGGCGGCAGCTGGGGGCCCGGCCCCTCTGGCCTCAGTCGGCCGGGTTTGGTGGAGGGTGGGGCTGGTGGCGCCTCCCCTTGCACCCTGGTCTCTGGAGGCTGCGCCCTCACTTCTGAGGGTCCCTCCTGACTGCGGGGGCAGGGAAGGGATAAGGGAGAGCCTGGAGTCCCTAGGACGGGAGAGGGACAGCGCCCCGCCACCCTGGCCGAGGGTGCCCCCGGCCCCCCAGCCCACTGCCACCTGGGTGAGCGGGGCTGTCTGGGCTCCTCGCCTCCCTCCCAGCCCGCCTGGCTCGGCCGGGACCGCAGCTGCTCGCTGCCCTCTAGCGGCCGCTGCCGGCACTGCGGACTGGAGGGGCGCACCGCGGGGCTGGCGGGAAGCCAGGCCTGGGGACAGCCGCTGGGTCTCCAGGCAACCTGGCCCGGGCCCAGCTCCCAGCGCCCTCGAGGGGAGGAGGCCATCCCAGCCGGCCCACTGCAAACCAGGAGACCCGGACCCGGAGCGCTTGTCCGGTGTCACCTTGCGGCCAGGGACAGAGCCCACCCAGGACAGGCAGCCGGCTGGCACTCACCACATGGAGTGGCCCAGGTACTCGTCATAGTAGTAGAGCAGCTCGAAGGAGTCGATCTGAGGGAGGCAGAGCCACGGCAGGGGGAGAGGGGGCCCCAGCAGCCCCCTCCCGGCTGCGGGCGACCCCAGCCCCCCTCTTCCCTCCGCAGGCTCCCCCTCCCTCTGGGGCCACCCTGCCGCCGGGCACCAGCTGGGCTTGGCGAGGGCCACGGAGGAGGACGCGCGCCCGCACCGACGGGCGGTGGCCGAGGGCTGCTGCAGGGCGGGCGGCCTCCCCAGCCTCTCGGGCTTCAGGTTCTTGATGATGGGATTCTCGCGCACCGACAGGTGGTGCTGGTAGCCGCTGAAGAGCAGGCGGTGGTTGACGGAGTCGCCCACCAGGTGGATGCTGGCGCCCATGGTGAAGGTGATGATGCAGACGTAGACCACCGAGCGTGGCAGGGTGCGCGGGGACCGCTCGATGAGCTGCAGTGGGGGACCCACAGTGGGACTGCCTCTCACAGCGGCTGATGGACACCAGCTGGTGCCAGCCCAGCCTCCATTCTCACCGGGCCCTGTGAGCCAGCAGGGGCTCCCAGGCAGCACCCCCTGCCCCAGGGAGAGACTGCCTCAGGGCCCAGCTGTTGTCCCAGGCCTCCCGCAGCCCAGCTGGAGGTTGTGGCCAGGCCTTGAACCTGGAGCCCAAGCTCAAGTGCAGCCCTCCCACCCCCGGCGTGGCCCTGGGTGCTGGCTGGCCTACTGGAGGGTCCCTCTGGTTTCAGAGGGAGTGGCCCACGACAAACAGGAAGGAAATGTCCAGTCCGGCAGCTGCTTCTGAAAGGGGATTCTTGAACTAGGAAGGGCCCTCTGAATTCTGAGCTCAGCCCCTCCTACATCTGGACCCTTGACCGTCCTCCTTAGAAACAGGATGGGGATCGGGACACAGGTACAAGTTGAGCATCCCTAATCTGAACATCCAAAATCCAAAATGCTTCAAGGGAGCCAGCAGGTGGCCTAACAGTTACCGCACTGGACTCCCACATGGTGGACCTTGGTTGGAGTCCTGTTCCTGCTGGTTTGAAAATCAGGCTGGGCAGGACCAGCGGATGGCATCGTGGTTATGTTGCTGGACTCCCACATAGTTGACTGCAGTTCGAGTCCCTTACCCAGTGGCTTAACACTCATGCCGGCACGTATGCATGCATGTCCAAAATCCTGAGAGGAGAATGGAGAAGGGACTGTGGCATGGCCATCCCCTCTGGGGGGCAATTTCTGGCTTTCTCTCTATCTCTGTCTGTCTCTATAGTGAGCACACATGCCCTAGAGCAAAAATCTCTCAAAAAAATAAAGGAAGGAAGAAAGTCAGTCAGGCTGGGGACGTATGCGTGCCCAAAATCCTAGAAGGAGAAAGGATTGTGGCATGGCCATGCCCTCGGGGGGTGATTTCTCACTTTCCCTCTCTCTCTCTGGCGAGGGCACCTATGACAAAAACAGAACACTCCAAAATCGGAAACTCTTGAAGTGCTGGAATGATGCCACAAAATGGGGGTTTCCACAGCAGACCCTGCATGTGAACAACTGTGAGATGATCATGGAGGGACCAGCAGTTGGCGTAATGGCTATGTCACTGGACTCCCATGTAGTCGACTGCGGTTCAAGTCCCAGGCCCGGTGGCTTAAACTTACGCCGGGTGCATGTGTGTGCCTGCCCAAGATCTTGAGAGAATGGAGGACAAGGGATTGCGGCGTGGCCATCCTCCCTGTGGAGTGATTTCTCACTTTCTGTCTCTCTGTCTCTGTCTTTCTGGCAAGTATATGTGCCCTAAAGCAAAAAAGCCTCTCAAAAAACAAAAACAAAAACAAAACACAAAACAAACACAGAGATGATCAGGGGCAGCACACGGATTCAGAGCCAGAGGGACGGAGACACCCAGCAGGCACAGCTGGCCCACGCGGTAGTGGAGCGTGGCATGCCCTAACTCCTTCCCACACCGTCGCTGGGAGTATCGGGTGAACTTCCTCTCGGCCGTGTGGTGTGTGTGTGTGTGTGAGACGAAGTGAATGGCAGGTTTCGACTTGGATCGCAACCCAGTTACATGCTTGCAACCACTCCGAAATCTGAAACAGTACGATGGGACACTCCTCTGGTCCCAGACATTTTGTGTAAGGGACACTCAACCTGTGAGAGTTTTAAGAGCCCTTCTATGGCAAAGTGCAGAGCTGGCAGTGCCTGCTGTGCTCCCGGGGACATCCCGGTCAGGGCCCTCCGGGGGTCCCTGGGCCTCCCTGGAGTTTCCTGCTTCCCCAAGCACGGCCTTGTCCTCAGGCCCTCTGGACACCTCTCCCACTCGGGCCACAGGCTCACCAGGCTGCGGCCCTCTGCAGTGGGGCCCCTGCATCCCTCGCTGCCGGAGGTGGCCAGCTGCCCGGGCCCTTGCTGTCCTGCCTCTCACACCCCAGCTGTCTCAGCGCGTGGGGCTCAGTCCCAGCGCCCGCAGGGTGGGGCCGCACGGTACCTTGAGCAGGAGGAAGGGCGTGATGACGTTGTAGGCCATGTGGAAGTAGTCCCCGACGCTGGGCTTGTTGAGTGGAAACCATTCGAGAGGGAACACCAGCTGGGGGGCAGAGGAAGGGTGGGCTCGCCCGCGCACGGCCTCGAGGTCCTGGGAGTCAGCCCGCCACACTCCAATTCCTCTGTGACCTCTTGGGGCCCCTTGGTAACCCAGGGACACGGGTACTTCCAGACGGGTAAACCAAGGCCCAGAGGAGGTAAGAGGACTTTCCCCAGGGACACACAGAGGCGAGCCGGGGCCTGGCCCGGTGCTCTTCTCCCGGTGGGTGCCAAGTGAATGTCCCTGGATGCTGGCCGGGGAGCCAGAGGCTCTTCGGGACCTAGTGGTGTCACCAGCTTGCTGGGTGACCGGGGTAGTCCCGCCCCCCCGGGCCTGTTTGCACATCTGTCACGTCTCTGTAAGCGAGGCTGTCCAAGAGTCTGCTGAGGCCCTCGGGACTGGCACTCCACTCGCCCTGACCACTGGGCCGGGTGTGGGAAAATGGCCGTCCGCCCTGAGGGGGTGACCACTTCCAGATCCAGAAGCAGACATTCGGAAACCAGGGAGACAAGCCGATCAAGCAGCTTCGGTGCTCCCTCCCCGACCCTGAGAGGGTGCTGCCGGGCACATCCTCCCTCTGGAAGGCCCGTCCTTCTCTCGGGCTGGCCCTCTAAACCCTGGCTTGTCGGGTCGGTGTGAAAACCCCTCGGCAAGCTCACAGCATTTCGCAGCCCCCAGCGTGCGCCGAGTGTCTGTTGATGGAAACACGTGTCATGGCAGGCCGATCGGAATCAAAGGTTTCTCCTGAACTCAGAAAGGCCGAACTGAAATATTAACCCACACAAATGAAACTCCCAGGACATAGGAGCCAGTGACTCTCTCTCTCGATGTGCGTCCATCTGTACGCTTCACCTTCATCAAGACATTTCTGTTTGCTGGGGCCAGCAATGGCGTAATGATTACATCGCGGGGCTCCCACATAGTCCCTCGCAGTTCAAGTCTCAGACCCGGTGGCCTAAAACTCACACTGGCCACGTGTGCGTGCGTGCCCAAAATCCCAAGAGGAGAACGGAGGAGAAGGGATTACAACGTGGCCATCCCCCCAGACCAGAGAGAGACAGAGAGAAGGCAAGAAAGCAAGCCCCAGGGCCAGGACTCAAATTGCTGTCACCCCACGTGGGAGTCCAGCGCCTCAACCACCAAGCCACCAGCCACACCTCCTTAATATATTCTAAAGTAAAACAGGCAAGTTGCGTAATAAAGTATAAAGTAAAATCTCATTTTGGTTAGATTTTTTAAAAAAGTATGTGTGTGTGTGTGTGTGTGTGTGTGTGTCTGGACGAGCAGAGAAGGGAGTGGAAGGGTGCACCCCAGACTGTCAGAGGCGGTGCTGGAAAGGGGCAGGGAGTCTACATTTCTCGTCGTATGTTACTGCAGCTACGAGGTACTCTGAGAACATAACAGCTTTTGCTCTCAGTTATTGGAAATGTGGGACTCAGGCACACAGCTGCAGAATGAGCATCTCCCACGGGTCCGCTCCCAGCCAGTCCCACCCAGGCTACGGCGGCTACGGCGGCCACAGCGGCTCTGCAGGGTGGGGCGGTGCTTTAGCCAGCAGAGGCTCTGCTGTGCTGGCTCAGACGGCGTCCCAGGGAGTGAGAACCGCCAGCCCCTCCTGGCCCTACCGCTCCCCCACCTCAGAGTGCAAGCTGGATGGGCAGCTGTGTGGTGCCCAGGAGCGGGGTCTCTGCTAGAAGAGGGCTCAGAGCAGCTAGTCCACCTCATCTTCTTAAAGATGAGAGAAATGAAGCCGAGAGCAGTGACCTGCCCAAGGTCACTCACAGACCTGACCAGTTTTCCTGACTCCTGGCTCGATCCCTCTTCTTTTCCCCACATTTAAAAAGCAACATGTAGGGGCTGGCAGGTGGCATGGTGGTTAGGGTGCTGGACTCCCACGTAGCCGACGGGTTCAAGTCCTGGACCTGGTGGCTTGCTTTCTCACTTTCCCTCTCTTTGGTCAAATTAAAATAATGATGATGATGACGATGAAGATGTAGGTCGCCAGGAAAGTCATGACACATTTTTGCACAGAAAAATACAGCATGACTTTCCTGAAGTCCTAATAGTAATAAATGAAGTTAAATAATTTTTTTTAAAAAGGTCACATGTAAAGCTCAGGAAGTCACAATGAGAACAGAGAAGGGCATTCACCGTAACTCCCTGACAGTGCGCCAGGACGGCCTTCCTGTACCCCGTCCAGGCCCCCGTCCTGCGGGTACGAGATGGGCACTGACCGCGATCCAGCGGTGTGCTATTTGGGCCCGTTTTCTCCGATATGCTGGGTTGCCCTACAGTACCCGCCACTTCTGTTTAAGGCAGGGAACATTCCCTACGTGGGACACGGCAGACTGACTGGCGTGGTCCCTGCCGTGGTCTCTGGCTGATTCCATCCTAGGGCCGATCCCGGGAGGGGCTGACTGCCAGGAGGAGGGACACACGGGCCTCCTGTGAGGGGAGTCGACCCAGCTGCGATGCCGGCCTCTCTACCTGCTAGCGGGGTGCCTGAGCCAGTTACCCTTCTAGCCTCGAGTTTCCTCGCCTGTAAATTTGGTATTACCATCGCTGCTGAGGGCCAGCAGCTGGCGTGGTTGTAACACTGGCTCCCACGTGATCCATGTGCTTTGGGTCCTGGACCCTGCGGCTTGAACTCACACTGGGCGCATGTGTGGTGGGCCCAAAATTCCGAGAGGAGAATGGAGAAGGGATTGCAGCATGGCCCAGGGTGATGTCTCACTTTCTGTCTGACGAACACATGTGCCCTACAACAACAACAAAAAAGCTCTCTCTCTCTCAAAAAAAAGAATCACGTTGAGACCAGCACTTAGCATAATGGCTATGTCGCTGAACTCCCATGTAGACTGCGGTTCACACCGGACCTGATAGCTTAAAACTCACACCAGGCACGTGTGCGTGCGTGCTCAAGATCCCGAGAGGAGAATGGAGGAGAAGGGATTGCAGCGTGACCATCCCCTCTGGGGGTGATTTCTTGCTTTCTGTCTCTCTGTCTCTCTCTGTCTCTGTCTGGTGAGCGCACACGCCCTACAGCAAAAACCTCTCCAAAAAAAAAATAAAAAATCACATTGATGTGAGATTTGAATGAATTTAAACACATAAAGAACCTAGGACAGAGTAAGTACTCTACGTTAGCTGCTTTTTTACCTTTCTGTTGTGGTGACAGGTTCATTATTATTATTATTATTATTATTCATTGTAATGTTTGAGAGGAGGAAGGAGAGAGACACAATCCCGCCCCAGCCCACAGTTAGCTGGGCCTGCTGGGGCATCCCACCACGCCCAGTGGGTTCAGGTTGGCCTGGGCCTCCCAAGCCGCCTCTGGCCTCTGGTGGTGCTATCAGTGTGCCACCGTGGCTGGGCTAATGATTATTACTAATTCCATAAAAACGTACTGAGCACTTACCGTATTAGGTAAGTCCCTGTTCTAGGGACGAGTGATTGCCTTGCCAGACTGCTTTCCAAAGGGACCCACTGATTTGCACTATCACTACCACGTATGAGGTGCAATTTCACCACTAGATATTATTTTTATCATCCACACACACATAAGTAGCAACGTAGTCCCTCTCTCAAGGTTTTTTCACATTCTCTTATCTCCCTCTCTCTATCATAAGTGAGGGGCCTTGGTGCGCTTCCAGCATTAGTCTCTCCCATGGGAGCCTCCTCCAAACTTGCCTTGGAGGAAAGGGGGTGGTTTCACCAGAGGCGGGGACCAGCAGTTAGCATAATGGCTATGTGCTGAACTCCCATGTAGTCGACCACAGTTCGAGTCCCAGACCTGGTGGCTTAAACTCACGCCGGGCATGTGTGCATGCATGGGTGCGTGTGCATGGGCGCATGGGCGTGCATGCCCAGGATCTCGAGAAGAGAATGGAGAAGGGATTGCGGCATGGCCATCCCCCTGGGGGGTGATGTCTCGCTTTCTGTCTCTCTGTCTCTCTCTTTCTGGTGAGTACATGCGCCCTATAGCAAAAACCTCTCCAAAAAAAAATTTTCTTTAATTTTAAAAATGACCTGAGGCAGCGTCACACATAGGCCAGATTAACGTCTACCCTTTGCCTCCAGGAACATACAGCCCACAGCGGCAGGGAAGGACTGGTGGGGCCCTCTGCACCCTTTCCTGCCACTTTCTTTGATGTGTGATTTGGTTAAACCTCGTTCACCTGCTTCCAGACATGGCTATCGGGGCTGGGATGGCTGTTTAGACAACCGTCTTCCAGGAGGGCCGGTGCATAGTATGGCTACTGTGGACCCCCAGGCCCCGCCTGCCGGCACTCTCCTGGCTGGCCACAGACACAGAGCCAAACGGCACAAGGGCCTCGAGGCCTGTTCTCTCAGGTCACTGGCTCCTCTGAGGTCACTCAGCAAATCCAAGTCACACGAGTCGCCTCCGTGCTGGTCGGGGCTGTCATACTCACCATGGCAATGGGGCGGCCGAAGTCCAGAACCCAGTTCTGCAGCGTGAAGTAGAACCAGAGGTCGAGGTGGAAGGGAGCCGAGTCGGCAGCCTCTTCAGCCTTGATGGAGCTGTGCCTAGAGGGGAGATGGAGGGTCAGCTCTTCTCTCCTCCCTGAGGGGCCTCCCCGTGTGACAGGCCACGGAGAGGTCTGGGGACATGAGTGCAGGAGGAGAGACACGTGACCGAGTCCTGGAAACGCTGGGCAGGCTGTCTTCAGCTGCCCTGCTCTGAGCTGTGTGACTCAGGAAGGAAACGCCGGGCATGAGGAGTTCTCCCGGCAGAACGACGGGGCGATGGCTGGGGTGACGCTGCAAACGGCGAGCACGAGTCGCGGTGACTGGGGACAGCAGCGGGGCCTCCCTGGGCACCTGCTATACTCCGAGCACCACTGTTAGCTGTTCACATGTATTACGTCATTTCACTTTTTAAATAGCAGTTTTATTTCATTGTATTATTATTATTGTTATCATTATTTTTAATTTGCTACAGGGCACCTGCACTCACCTGAGAGAGGCAGAGAAAGAGCCTGAGAGCAAGCCGTCAGGACCAGGACTTGAACCGCAGTCAGCCATATGGGACTGCAGCACCTTAATCACCCCACCACCGGCTGGCCCCGCATTTAACTTGCTAACTCCTCACAGAAACCCTTTGAGGGGCCGGCCGTAGCACAGTGGTTTAGCACAGTGCGCTGGGAGCCAGATCCCACACGGCTGGCTGTGGCCCTGGTAGCTTGAAAAACACACTGGGCATGTGTACGTGTGTACCTGCATCCCGACAGGATGCGGAAATGGAAGGGACTGGCATGACTAAGCTCCACTGAAGGGTGTTCCCTCTCTCTCTCTCTCTCTCTCTCTCTGGTGAGCGCACAAGCCTAAATTAGAAAAAATAAAACTTGGGTGGATGTGATCTATCTCAAAATATCTTATGGTACAGTATTTGCCTATTTTGACAACAGGTAACTGACACTTGAGAAAGCAGAACTGGGGCCGGCAGGTGGCGTGATGGTTAAGGGTGCTGGATTCCCACATGGCCGACTGCGGTTCGAGTCCTGGACCTGGTAGTTTGCTTTCTCACTTTCCCTTTCTCTCTCTCTCTCTCTGTCCCTCTCTGGTCAAATTAAAATAAATAAACAAATAAATAAAGTTAAATACAATAATTCTTTTTAAAAAATAGTTTGTTCTTTAAAAAAAAAAAAATCGGGACCAGCAGTGGCGTGGTGGTTAGGGTGCTGGACACTCTCACATGGCTAACCTCGATTCATGTCCCAGACCTGGTGGTTTGCTTCTCATTCCCTCTCTCTCTCTGTCTCTCTGGTCAAATTAAAAAGTAAATGAATGAATACATAAAATTAAATGAATAATTCTTAAAAAAAAAAACAAAATCACAGGAAGTAGGGGGTACTACTGGGCTTTTAACTCCACCCCGCAGTTGTCCAAAGTGAAAGAGCCACGGCTGGGCATGTGACCTGGGATGGGCCAATCAGAGCCCTCCAGAGGGCTCTGCCTTGGAGACTGGCTGGGCCGGGCCCAGGAGGAGGTCAGCCTGGGCTGCTGGTGTCCTCTTCCCACCTCCCCACAGCAGGACTTGAGGAAGCCTGCAGGGACAAGGTGACACGAGAGACACAGCGAGACAATGACAGCCCCCCAGCAGTGCATCTTTTGGTGCCTGTCCCTCTCACGAAGCAGGTGGTCACCACCATTCACAGATGCCCTGCAGCCTGGGGGCCAAGGCCTCCTCCTCCCAGAAGGCTGCCCTGATGAAGCGTTTCCCAGCGCCTCACCAGCCTCACTAGAGGCAACACTTAACCATGAACCCCAGCCTGGCCGTGACATCGTGGGCTAGAGTTGTACTCTCCCATCTAGACCGTGGGAGGAGGTGCACTTTATTCCCCAGTGGGGCGGTGGCAGGTTCCCCACTGGAGTCCCACTCCTCTTTACAGTGTCCCTGTCCTTGCACACCTGCAGTGACGAGCAGCTCACTGCCTCCAAAGACGACAGACTTTCGTCCCCCTGGTGCCAAGAACAGGCACTGGTGCCACAGATGCACTGCTCGAGTCTCAGTAGTGGCTCAGGCTCCTCTGCACTGGCTGACTCAGGACAGTTAGTGACCAGTGACTCCTTTTCTGGTGGCAGTCATTAGCTCAGAGGCACTCCGAGGACTCCGGTTGTCAATGCCACCATGGCCACACTCTCCCAGGACCCTTCTCAGCCAGTTCCAAGGGTGGCTCACAAAAGCTGTTCAAGCAACCCAGGGCCAGGGAGGCAAGCTGGGGCACCGTGTCCTCCGGTGGCAGGCAAGGCAGTGGAGCAGGCCTTCCTATCCCTCTGCTTGGTGTCCCCACACTCACCGAGCACCACCTGTTTACCTGCCGTACCTGCACCGTCTTGGCTAACCCTCACTCACACCCTCCTGCTCTAGGCGAGAGTGCTGAGGCTCACAGGGGCTCGTGCTTGGCCAGGCCGCCCGCGGAAAGGGGCTGTAGTCACTGCTCCTGTGGCCAGCTGTTTCGCACCCCAGCTTCCTCCGGCAAGAAGTGATGCTGCCGTGGACGGTTCCAGTGGGACGGGAGGTAGTGGAAAGCATGCCTTCCTTTCTGTTTTGTTTTGTTGAGAGGTTTTCGCTCTAGGGCGCATGTGCTCACCAGGAAGACAGAGAGAGACAGAGAGACAGAAAGCGAGAAATCACCCCCCAGGGGGGATGGTCACGCCGCAATCCCTTCTCCATTCTCCTCTCGGGATCTTGGGCACACATGCACACGTGCCCAGCGTGAGTTTAAGCCACTGGGTCCGGGACTCGAACTGCAGTCAACTACATGGGAGTCCAGCAACATAGCCATTACGCACCAACTGCTGGTCACAAGCATGCCTTCCTTTCTAGGCCTGAGATCTCTGAGTGCAAGCTCAGGGCTGCCTGCGGCCATGGTTCCACACTCGAGGGGCAGACAGGTGAGAATGGGGCAGCCCCAGAGATCAGGGTAGAGGAGGAGGAGGAAAGCTCTGACAGTTGGTGCGCCCAGGCACCTCAGGGGTTTGGACCACACACACCCCTCCTGTCTAGGGTGCTGCAGTTCACACTAGCTGACTGTCCCTGGAAACCCAGGAGTCTGCACAACACAGAATAAAACCTGGGTCTATATGAATTCAAGCTCTGTGTTCTTAACAGCTTGCCGTTTTTTTAATGTCAGAGGGTGCACATGCACGCACACACGCCCGCTTGTATGCAAGAGAAAGCGCTTTGCAGTGGGGAAATAGAGTCAGGAGGATGTCGGTCTGATCATGCCACAAGCCTTTTTCTTCTAATTCTCTCTCCATCCTGTCAGGATCCCGAGTGCATGCCTGACATGCTTCTCGAGCCCTTGGGGCAGGATGTGAGCCCCAGCTGGCCACATGGGATCAGCGTTCTCTGGGCACTGTGCCCCAGGGCAGCCCGACAGCTTGCTCTTCTGATTTGATTATTATAAGCAGCCATGTGGCATGTAGAAGATCAGGTCAGAAAGGGCTCAGCGTGGCCGGGAACAGATGCAGGGATCGTAGGTTCGGCTAGGCAGAGACGCGCAGGACAGCAGGACAGACGTCCTGGGGGTGGACGTGGGCAGACACCACGTGGAGCCCGCAGCTCAGCCACTGACAACAAAGGCACGGAAGGGGGCTGGCTGGGTTCAATCTGGGCAGATACTTAGAGCATAACTGTGAGGGCTGCTCAGGGTTCTAAGACCAGCAGGAAGCAGAGCCCACGCCTCCTGCCCCTTCCTCTTAGTGACCATCAAGGCAAGGCCTCATAAAGCAGACAGTGGGGGCAAGCAGGTGGCATGGTGGTTAAGGCACTGGACTCCCACATGGCCGACTGTGGTTCAAGTCCCAGACCTAGTGGCTTGATTTCTCACTTTCTCTCTCTCTGGTGGGTGTATGTGCACTGTAGCAAATAAGAAAAAAATAATAATATTGATAAATAAAATTAAACAATTTTTTTTGAGAGAGAGATTTTTGCTATAGGGGGTGTGCACTCACCAGAGACAGAAACCAAGAAATCAGCCTTCAGGGTAGATGGCCGTGCTGCAGTCCCTTCTCCATTCTCCTCTCGGAATCTTGGGCATGTGCGCACATGCACCCGGCGTGAGTTTTAAGCCACATGGTCTGGGTTTTGAGTTGCAGTAGACGCTGTGGGAGTCCGTGGATGTAACCATTATGCCATCTACTGGTCCCAAAATCAAATAATTTTTTTTAAGCAGATGGCAATAGCCTCTAGGCCCGAACAGCATGCATGGAGAAGGACAGGAGCCTCGGCGTTTGCAGCCCTGACACCTCCAAACTGGGCGAATGGTGGGATGTTTGAAAGCCTGGGGAAGCACTCCGCTGTGTGTCTCTGGAAGTGATGGCGCTCAGCACAGCCCAGGGCTCAGGAACTATGTCCTCCTCTACCTTCATTTATTTTTTAGGTTTTTGCCATAAGGCACCTACACTTGCAGGAGAGAGAGAGAGACAGTGAGAGGGAAACGGGGGATGGCCATGCTGCATTCCCTTCTCCTCTATCTTCCTCCTAGGATTTGGGGTACACACCCATGTACCCAGTGTAATTTCCAAGCTGCCAGGTCTGGGACTTGAACCATGGTTGGCCACATGTGAATCCAGCACTTTAACTACCATGCCACCTGCTGGTCCCTGAAAAAAAAAAGAGTTTAAAAAGAAGGCACAGGGCAGACACCCAGCCTGGGAATCAAGAATGATGGACATCTGCCTGGTTTTCTTCTGTTGGGACTTTACCCAAGGAAGGCAGATCACTGAAGGTAAAGGCATCTTCACACACACACACACACACACACACACACACACACCTGTGCTCGATCCAGGTCTCAACCACCAGTCACTGCTGCTGAGGACGATGGTGAAAGCACAATGGCTGGTAACCTGAGACACAGCTGCCCTTTTCTCCTCTCTACAGCCCTTGTACAAGCCTGCCATATGGGGAACCTAACTCCTTAGCAGTTGGAGAGCCATTCCATACAGTTAGCATACTCAGCCGTGTCTGTAGAACTGCCTGGCAGAAAAGACAGCAATCTTACCCCAGAGAGGACAAG